TAGGTACATTGTCTCTCTCTCTTTCTCTCTTTCATACACACTCACATTCTTTCTCTCTTTACTTAACTTTCTCAACACTTACAGTAAATTACATTGTTCCTATTTACAGCGTGATATACATACAGATCGTTTCTCTATAAAAGTCGTTTCGCGGTGCATCTCATTCGCATGCGTGTATTCGAAATACAAAACCGCTGTAACTTCGTTGAGATCAACCGATTTCCTGTTCAGGACTTAGGGCTAGTTGTTAATCGCGATCGATCATTCCGATCGAGATCTGATGCTCCATCGATCTGTGGTTCCTACCTTTTCTTTCTCGTTTGTTTAACGCGTTGAGATGATTATTAAATGTTCAGATCTATCGATCGTCGATTCGTGTCGTTTTCGTTCGTCTATTGCGATGTCGATTACTTAACCGTTTATGTTGCTCTGTACTGGAGTTCGATCGAGAGGAATTTGAGCGGTAATCGATTAGTATGATATCGATGCATTATGGTAATATGAATAGCTCAATGTGATGAAGAAACTTTTGAAATAAAAGTATTTTAAATTTAGTGCTAAACATTTTGCACAATATTTTATCAATATTTAAGTGAGATATTAATTTGTGTATTTTACAGATTTGTTATAAATCCATCCACTTATTTTAATGGATATTTCAATTATAAATAATTTTCCAATTTTTTCAATTATAAGAAGGATAAATGTCAATATATTCTTGTCATCATAAATGGCAACTTGTTCAGAATTATTTAAATTCATAAACTTAACGTATTAGAACAAAATACATTCAATTAATTGTTTAAACATTATTTGGTAACATATTATACAAATGAGAATATATTTTTACTGCTGTAAAATTTGACAAATTAATATTTTAAATATATACAAATGTTTTACGAATATATCATTGTAATTTAAGTATAAACAATCTAGTAATTTAACCCTTGTGTGTTCTTCCATTTAACTGTACACATTTGTACGGAACGAAATGAATCAAACATGCAAGGACCATGAATGTAATAATTTCTAATAAATATGTATTACATATAAGCAAACAAGCTTCCAAAAGCAAATATTGATATAAACACAATATTTCTATCCACCGTTGCCAGGTAAATAGTGATGTGATGAATGAAAAAAAAGCAGGAGTTAAAAATTGGTAATGATTTCGGTATCACTGTTCGAGCTATTCATATTTCTCCACTCGAAGCGTTTCCACGTTATCGACATTTTCCCTCATCGTGTATGAGTCATGTTTCATCACGATAACATCGATAACGTGGTTCGTGCTGCAAAAAATCGAAGAACAACAGAAAATTTGATTCGTAACATAAGACCCGTATTTTGTTTTCTCGTCGATTAGGCAGTAACAGTTTTGCAGGCAGTCTTCTTGATCGTTCGACAAGAAATCATGTTTACGAACAAAATTACTTATATATAAACAATTCCTTTGAATATGTAGTCTTCAAACAATCAAAAGACGTGTGCGTGATTTTCGTTGAAAAGTAAAACTGTTTCTTGACAATATATTATTGTACGTATACATAGGATGTCGATTTGTTATTGTTATTACCGTTAAACAGGCAGTGTTAATTTGTTTTTTTTTTTTTTTCTTGAACTTTACTACATCGTTACTGGTACAATTCGATCGTTACATCGTTTTATCGTAATTACTTTTGTTAATTAAGAAATTCTTAAGATTTAAGAACGCTCTGGTAGTCGACTTTAAAAAATAGAAATTATTGTATCGATTATAGATGATGTTATTCTGATATATGAGAGTAACAAATAATTTCACTTTGTGGAAAAGTGTGTCGTTAAATTTCACTGCGTTAAGTTCTTAATTTAGAAATTTTCTTATGAAAATGCTCCTCCGTAAGCGTAACAGAATTCAGTCGCACATCGAAAATTTCTAAATTGAAAATTATTTTTTAACAATGGTGGGCACTTAACTGTACGAGGACAGGAAATTTCACTTTTTCCAATTTGGAAATTTAGAAATTTTTAAACTATAGAATTTGAAGGTTTAGAAGTTTGGATAATTAGGATCTTGAGGTGTGAGGATTGGGAAATTTGGAAGGTTGAAGGTTGAAGTGTGAGGTTTGGAAGATAAGGGTTTAGAGATTTAGGGATTTGGGAATTTAGAGATTTAGGGATTGAGAGATTAAGGGATTTAGGGATTTAGGGATTTAGGGATTTGGGGATTTAGAGATTTAGGGATTGGGAGATTAAGGGATTTAGGGATTTGGAGATTTGGAAATTTGGAAATTTGGAAATTTGGAAATTTGGAAATATAGAAATTTAGAGATTTATTGATCTGGAGATTTGGGCATTTGAGGATTTGGGGTCTTTGGGGATTTGGGGATTTGGAGATTTGGGGTCTTTGGAGATTTGAGGTTTTTGGAGATTTGGTGACTTGGGAATTGTTGAATATTGAAATTTGGAATTGTGAGATTCGGAAATTTAGACATTTAGGAACTTTTTAAATTGGTAAATTAATAAATTGGTAACTTAAGTAATTTGGTACTTCGGTGATTTGGTAATTTGGTAATTTAGTAAATTGATAAATTGGTGAATTGGTAAATTGGTAAATTGGTAAATTGGTAAATTGGTAAATTGGTAAATTGGTAAATTTGTAAATTACAAAATTGGTAATTTGGTAATTTGGCATCTTAATAATTTGATAATTTGATAAATCAGAAATTTCGAAATTTAACATTTTAGGGACAGTATCTTCGAATTTTCGACTTTTTCAGAAACTTAACGGTTTGTAAATTAACTCAACAACTTACGACTTCAAAATCGCAAAAAATGAAATTTAAAACTTCTAAAATTTGCAATTTGGTACTTCTAAAATTTGCAGATGTACAAACTCGAAGAACAGAACATTTCAAACCATAAAAATTATAAATTTCCAAATTTCCAAATTGAGTGGCCATTAGTTCGCACAAATGCTCACTATACACGTTCCCATATAACGTCCTCTTTGCTCACCGCTGTTCTATAACATTAATTGAGTCCTTGTATTTTCGAATTTGTTTACTCCTTCATGCGAATTGTTCGTTCAGATATCAAAATCTAATTAAAATGATAGTCATTTCCACAGACTTGACGACTCACTTCCGGTACCGGTCGCAGGACGAACATTTCACGCATAAAATATTTCTCTCTTCATTTACAATTAACTTTCGCTTATATACTTTTCGCCCAAAATTTGACATTATATCGACGTCCTTTCCAAAAACAGTACCTTCTAATAACAACATCATTTTCAACAATTAATAAGAATTTCCGATCAGTGACCGAAAAATCCTCAAAATGTCATTTCAATCCTGAATGATTCTTATCGTTAGAGATTCAAACGACTTGATTTCAATTCTTCAGCTCACTGAAGCCGTATTTACAAACGCTTGTATTACTTGTTTGATGGTCTAAAGCTCTCGTTCACTTCCGGTGTCAGTCATAGGCACGCGTGAAACGATTTCGTTAAGAGAAATATCAGATTTTGTCCTCACTAACCTAACTCGTATATCCATCACGAATTGGAGGCGTTGCAGCAATAAGGACATAGTTGTGCCAATTGAATCACACTGTAGTTTAATTATACTATTTTATTTTGTATTTCAGTTACGAAATAATTCAATTATTTCAGTGTATCAATTATATCGTAGGTAATTTAATTATGTCGCAATATTAAATACATTACACGCAATTTAATGATCTTATAATGTCAATTTTATCAGAATTTAGTTATTTCGTGTTCTAGATAATTTAATTACATCGTAATATTAATTATATCACACACAACCCGATAATGTGATAGTATTAATTTCGTTGATAATAATTAAATTATGTCATAATATTGATTATACCATGAGTAATTAAGTCATAATGTGAATTGTATCGTAAGCAATCAATTTATGCAATAATACCAAATATGTCATAAAATTAATTGTATGTAATTAAATTATGTCTTTATATCAGTTATTTAATAACTAATTAAGTTGTCATAATATCAATTTAAACGTCATCATTGAATTGCACAATTTAAACACCTCAGTTAATTCAATTGGCAATTACTGTAATTATCAGCATAATTAAATGTCTTATTTGTGTTTATATATTAATTTATGAATAATACCATATTCATCACTTTCTACAATTTTTTTTATTTTTAGAACATGGTATTTTTCATCTTTTACAACCTTGTTATTTGGATACATTTTGATTCATAATTCTGAATAAATTACATTGTATTTTGTAATTGTTCCTAAATTGCAAGTACCAATTGCACAGTAATTTAATACAATGGAAAATCAGAATTACGAATGGCAATATAATTGAATTACCTTGTAACTGTAATTCCTAGTGTGATTCAATTGTAATTGTAGACAACACTAAATAAATATACAGGACCACTTTCCAATAATTCCACAAAATAAAAGAGCAATTTAAAATTTATTTGAAGATTTCTTGAATCTAAATTGAATTCGAGACTTTTTCAAATATTTGCACAAAAATTTGTTTACTGTCCATTGACGTTATAAATGAATAAATGTAGTTATTAATATCAGTGGAATTCTTTATCAGCCATTTTTTCATAGCATTCTTTAGATATGTGTAATGTAATAAATTTAATCAATGACAATATGTAATATAAATTATTAAGACATAATATACTTTCATATTAATATTATCAAGATAAACATATCTTTGATATTAATCATATTAAAATATCCACATTTTGATATTGATGATATTAAGCAAACACATTTTGATATTAATATATTGAAATTAATGACATTCAGATAAATACATTAATATTAATAATATCAAGATAAACACATGTTGATATTAATAATATTCAGATAAATAGATTAATATTAATAGTATCATGTAAAACACATACTGATACTAATAATATTAAATACAATGACATCAACAACTACATTTATCAACATACAATTAATTACTGTATTAACAAATGTTGACTGAGATTCTTTTCTGTCGTACACAACTTCACAAATATCCAAAAAGCTTTTAAATTCAATTTAAAACAAAACCACATACAACATTATTCCAATATTCAATTTCTTCTAAACAGATACTAACAATTTTACTAATTTCCCCGTTTCCCCACCCTATATCACACCTCAAAACACCCTGTATAACAAGAGAAACGCATAAAAAGTGCCTCATCGCTGCAAATCCCGCGCTTAACATCACTTCCGGTATCGAAGTGTTCGACCGTCTACAAAATTTTCAAACAATTTCTGCATCCACCGCACGATTCACTTTCGATATCAGTTAACGGAATAAAAAAAAGAAGGAGGGAAACACGAAAAACGTCACCGCCACGTGCTTGTTTCCGGTACCGGGCGCGAGGACGAAGTTCCTCCATTTCCGCTCGAGGAAACAACGATCGATCGACGCGCGAGGATCGTTCGACTCTCGAACGTTCTTTACAGCGGCTTCGTTGGTGGCTCGTGCCTTAAAAAATCTCGATTAAAAGCAGTATTTCCGCGTGCTCACTTCCGGTACCGGGCTCAAGGACGGGGGTCGTCCCTCGCGCGGGACACCCCCCTCCTCCTGTCAGCCATAATAATAGCTCTTGGTGTTCAGGCTCCGTGGATTCTCCGGGCGCAGGATCGTGTGCAGGCTGTCGGTGCCCACCATGTGGTTACCCAGATCCACCCTGACGCCTGTGTTCCCTGGGTGGTGTACTGGTGCTGGGTGAATCGTCGTGGGTGACATGGGTATCCTTGTGTCTGCGTAGTAACGATCGCCATGGAGTCTCTCCGCTAGCTGTGTTTCTTTCATCCTGTAAACGAAATTCGTATACTATTAGCCCTTTGCGCTCGAGAGGTGACTCTCAGTCACCATTCTATTTAATACAATAATTTAAAATAAGCATTTTTTAACTGATTCTATAATATAACACGTGTGATGTATAAACATAGTGGAACAAACAATAGTGGAAATTATTAGTAGAGAAATAATAACCTCAAAAGAATTCATTTAACTTTTTAACTAAATTTTAAAGTTTCTGTTTGCAAACAGTCAAATTACCTACGACTGCAAAGGGTTAGTCGATCATACAAATGGTATGTACTAAAATCAGTATAAAATTTGTGCTGCAGTTAGCAGTTATAATTATTGCGTTTACGATAGCCTCAGCTACCGGTGGGACATTTGTGGAAAGTTCAGGCGTTGGAAATTGTGGAATTTGGAAATGTGGAGTTGGAAAATTTGAGAATTTGAGATTTTAAGATTTTGAGGATTCAAGGATTTGTATGTTTGAGGATTTTAGTAATTGGGAATGTGACCACTTCGGGATTTGGAAATTTATGAGATTTGAATTTGCAGATTTGTGAATTTCAGGATTAGTGAGTTGGAGAATTCGAGAATTTGTGGATTTAAGGAGTTGTAAATTTAACAATTTGAAGACTAAAATTTGAGAAATTTGAGAAGCTTGAGAATTTGAGGAATTTTGAAAAATTTTAAAGATCTATAAAATTTAAGAAATTTAACAAGTTTGGGTAAGTTGAGAAATTTGAGAAGTTTGAGAACTTTAGGAACTTTGAGAAGTTTAAGAAGTTTGAGAAGTTTGAGAACTTTAGGAACTTTGACAAGTTTAAGAAATTTGAGAAGTTTGAGAACTTTAGGAACTTTGAGAAAATTAAAAAATCTAGAAAATTTAAGAAGTTTAATAAGTTTGGGAAAGTTGAGAAATTTGAGAAGTTTGAGAACTTTGGGAATTTTGAGAAATTTGAGAAATCTAGAAAATTTAAAAAGTTTAACAAGTTTGAGAAATTTGAAAAATTCGAGAAACTTGAGAAACTTAAGAAATTATAGAAATTTGAGTTGTTTGAGACATTTGAGACGTTTGAAAAACGTAAAGTTTGAGAAGTTTGAGAATTTGAGAATTTTAGAGTTTGAAAGTTTGAGAGTTTGAGAGTTTGAGAGTTTGAGAATTTGAGAGTTTGAGTGTTTGAAAGTTTGAGAGGCTATGAATATAAGAATTTGAAAATTAAAAAATTTGAGAATTTGAGAATTTGAGAAATAAAGAAATTAAGAAATTGAGAATTTGAGCATTTGAGGATTTTAGGATTCGAACATTTTTGAGTTTGAGAATTTGGGTATGTATTTCATAAACTCTTCAATACACAAATTTCAGAATGTCCAAGTATTCGAACAGTAAAATGATAAAATAATAAAATAGCAAAATAGTAACTCTCTAATATCTATTCCATTACAATTTGTGATTAACAAAATCTCAAAAGAATAGTACATAATATAATTTACCAATAGAACACGCGATTCTACATGTTCTCTGATCTCCAACACCCACATACAAAAATGAAATTATTAAAAAGTAACCTTCGCAGACTCTATCATTCCCCATTCAAAATAATCAAAAAATTTCGAAATGAATTCGTAGAAAGACAAACTGTAAGGTTGGACAGCGGATACGTATAAGATAATAATGAAATTACAAACCTCGTGTCTTGCATGGGAACTGGCATGGTAGCCGTGAGATCAATATCTGCGTCGATTTCTGAAATGTCATCAGTAAATCCATTCGGCAGAGCTTCGTTATTCGCATGGAATTTCGCATCCCTCTTCGCACGATGACGGCTGACAAGAAGACGTCCAATTACCAACCCCAGAAAGATTAGAATGCCAGCCGAGACAGACACTATGATGTACAGGTAGAACTTCTCTTGATTTTCTGCGTTAAGGAAATAGCACAACACTTAACATGATTATCCAAAGAACTTCGAGGTAATTAGTATATGATAGAAAATCGAGTTAACAGTTCTCTACTCTGAAATCGAGGAGGGCACTAAGTCGCATGCAAAATCGCTAGAAAATTTTTCTACTAAATAAATGCAATGCCACACACAAGTGTTCAATTTTGTCAAACTACAAACCTTGAAGCAATTAGAATCATTTTTGTGTACCTTTCAGTTTGCAATATTTCGTCCCTTCAATTTTTTTGGTAAAGCTTTTTAAGAATTCATTGTATAATTATTTGTAAAGTTTATATGCTATGTTTGGCAGGAGAATTTTAGGTTCTTAGATTTCATGAGCTCTTGCATATTAATGACGTTATTACGAAGCTCTTTATGCATGTATGTATGGGTTTGAACTTAGTCAATCAATAATTTAGAAGATAAGTAATATTAAGATTTAGAGGAGATTTATTTGGCGAGCTACTGTGACAAAAAATTATTATTGACTTGAAAGTTTGAACGTTTGTAATTCTTGTCTTTTACTTTCTAAATTTCTTAATTTGTATATTTGAAATTATTGAATTTCTAAATTTCTAAATTCGAACATCTGAAATTATTGGATTTCTAAATTTAGGAATTTGAAATTCTAGCATCTCTAAATATGGGAATTTGAAATATTAGTCTCTAAATTTTAAATTTAGGAATATGAAATATTATTAAATTAAAAACATTCAGGTTTGGAAATTGACAGATTAGCAAATAATTAAACATATTTCATTTTATCGCCAAAACACTAGTCAAATCCTTTAAATATATCCGTAAGATAATAATATATTAAACACGACAAAATTCGTCACAATACAATCATGCAAAATCTCATGAACACAAGTTCTCGTCAATATAATTCTACAACAAAACTAAGATTACCAACAACAGAAATAAAAGTTTTCTATCTAATCGACATATCGATCGCAGATAATATCCCGACTGTTAGTAATTTTCCTGCAACTAATATGGTCAAATTCTTTTTTACCGGCCGAGATCAACGCGAAACCTGCTATACCGACAAAAAAGGGTAAAAACCAGCTGAAGAGAAGAAATAAGGGGACTTACCGGTTAGAAGGGTAAAACGAGAGGAAAATACTTACTCGATATGAACGAATATGCATTGATCCATTCATTGATATATCCGACAACGACACGATCCTCTTCGGGAACGGCGTAGACAACCGTGGTGCAATTAATCGGTGACACGGTACTGCTGGGAAGATCTCTAGTGTTACCGTCCACGTTGTTGTCGAACATAATCACCCCTTGAATAACCGCGGGTGATAAGGACGAGTCTTTCGCTCGTACACCGTGTGACTTATACTTGATCGATTGTGTGCCCACTGTGTGTACGCGAGAAACATATGAATTGAAGCTGATCAAGAAGAGATTTTGCGACTTGAACTGAACGCAGTGATGGGAATCGTTGTATGTAATTATTAATTTTGGTGATAACTGACAGTCAATTTTGTTACGACAGAAAATTAGGCAACAAAGAGAAATAAAATCGAAGTTATAGGTATGTATAACTTTCATTTCGAAATTTATATAATATTACTTTTTGTGATTGTTAAGACGTTGAAATGCAAAATAGAGTCTGTTTATGTATGCGTTTTATTTTGTGATTTTGCAACATGTATATACATGAATGGGTTATAATTATATTTTGTATATACATAAATTATGGTTTGTGAAATAAGGTTTTTATGTATAAAAAGGTGGTACGATTTTATTAATTTCAATGAAAAAACACAAATTCGATGGAAAATTTTATAATAACGGTAGATTTTGAAGCTTAAGGCAGTGGTTCTTAAATAGTGCAATGAGTTTTTAATCAAAATTTGTAAAATTTTGAATTTTTGAGACTTTCGAAAATTGGAACTGTATATCGAAATTTTGTAATTTTTGAAACTATGGAATTTAGATATTTTTGAACTTGAGATTTTAGAAGTTTTTCAGAAACCTCTGCAAACTAACATTTTGAAGGAAAACAATCTAAATTTTAAATCTATAAGAAATTTTAGGAATTTCATACATTTAGCTTTTAAAAAAGATTTCTTTCTGTCAATTCCACGTTTCTATTCAGAGTTGCCATATGTAGGAACACAGTGACGTCAAATGGAATTATACATTAATACGACATTAGTACTCAAGTGGAGATCAAACTTCCCAGGGGAAAATGTCTATCAAGGGAATTAAGTCCCAACCATTTGCAGTAATATCTTCGTATTGGCACACATTATGTCCCACTGACAACAATCATTTTTGAAATAGATAAATAATAACAATTTTGAAAATTTTATTTAGAAGCAAATTCACGTACTTTCCGTACATTACGTTTCAGAAAATAGATTTTAGAAGCATCCAAATTTAACGTTTCTTGTTATTTAACTTCATATTTCAATGAAAATTCATAATAAAAATACCACGGCGATTTAACAAGTGAAACAGATATAAACAACAGTAGTTTATTATAATTAACTTGAACATGTGAAAAGAATGTTTAAATCCATAAAATGCAATATTCTTTATTTTCTTTTCTAACCCTTTTGTATTCTAATGACATTCTTTCGATCTGATGAAATTTTGCAATATTCTGCTTGTTCCAAAAAGGGAAAAAATCACTAATTCTGAAGAAAAACATAACTTTCTAGTTTACGAATTCAGTCATTCACGACTAGATGGCGATAGCTCGACCATTTTCAATCAATTTCAATAAATATTGATTTTTCGTTCTTAATAGACAATATGCACCAAATGGCTTTAAAAATGCTAAATAGCTTCAGAACATTTTAAAAATGTTTTAAAAATGTGTTTTAAAAACATTAAAAAAATATTTGATATTTGGTTGCATTGGTTTACACCTTCTGCTGCTAGATGGCTGAGCATTTTCAGATCCATGAAATGCAATATTTATTCAATATAAAAAAAAGAAATGCAACATATTAAACTTTCAAATGTACATATAACTACAAGTTTATATAAAAACAAAAGTCAACAAAACATAAAGATGCCTTATTTTATAAAAAAAATGCAAATTCATTCTACATTTCCAAATTTGACCTGTAGTTATACTCTTTCTAAACAGCTCAAACAAAAAATATATATTTCAAAATAAATATAAGAATCAGACTTCCAAAATATTTTCACCTTTTCAAATTAACATTAAGATGAATTATTGACTTTCATACCTTGTTCACATATTAAATAACCACAAAGTTCATATTATGAATATAAATTTCAGTCGAAAATTCAGTTATAAGACGATTCTACAAATACGAAATATTGATCGAAAGTAGCAAGAAACGGTAATAATAGAACGATCACATTTTCTGAACGTAATTAAATCACGAATTAATTTCACAGTGCACCACATGGCGAATCGTGTCAGTCAAAATCGTACATCTCATGTACCATCCTACTTTTGGTTACAAATTAATCTAAAATTAACACGACAGCTTCGTAGCGCACGAAAATTCGGATTATTCGGTATACAGCACGGAATAATATACATAGAACCTTATGATGTGAACGAACTGTTGATTTATGTGCAATTTGTAACCAGAAATGGAAAGATATATGAGCTGCGTGATTTCAAATCATGTGTGCATCACCTTGCATCTATATCTGCAAACTCTGCTTGCAATTGTACAATTTTCTGTCAGTAAAGTTCTACAATAGATGCAATAATAACTTGAAACAATAGATACAATAATTTGAAATAGTAGATATAATAATAATTTGAACCAATTGATCCCATCACTGCATGGAAACGATCAATCGAGATACGAAGGGGTGAGATGACAAAATGCACAAAAAGGTGCCGATAACAGCGACCATCCCTGTTATTTACAAGAAGCGAAGAACAGCCGATTATTTTACAGATGACAAGTGAGCCGAAGACGATACGTATCTCGATGACACATTAATCGATATTTACACTCTTACCGTATGAATCTCGACACAAGACAGTAAATTATATCTTACAAACAGCATATTCTTGCATAAGAGAATGTACAGTTAGAATGTATTGTGAAACGGGTACGTAGTCCTCCACCAAAGTTGCGATCGTGTCGTTATTACATTATGGTCGTGATTAATTAAAGTGTCGTGTAGGTGATAGAACGAAAATCTGACTCACGGAAAATATTAAAACAGAGTACGTGACGAATTTTGTTACAAATTGGAAGCTGTGCTCGCTGAAATTGCAGCTATTTGTGACAGAAGGTAATTCAGGTAATTTTATGGTGTGTATACCTCACTGAAATTTAAATGAAGCATGTACAACGAGTAGTTTCTGAGGGTAATTCACTGTGCTTGCTAAATTTCAAGCTGAAGCGTTATATATACATACATACATCCGTCCAATTGGCACGGCTTGTGCTTCCATTTTCTCGTTAGAATAAAAGAAAGCTCGTCAGATGATGGAAGCTGAATTCCGCGTGTAATGAAATCTACGTTTCCGGTACTTTAATTATAAAATTCAAATTTCCTCTGCGCTATAACGAACACTCTACAGTTTTCTGTTTCTCCAAAATGTTGAGAAACGAACACTAATTACTTAGTGGGAAAAAAAATTCATGTTCATTCGTTACATAATGACTACATCATATGCATAATATAATATAATACACAGAAGGTGATATTTCTAACAGGATTCTTACAACTATTTGATAAAAAGTTTACAAAAGTTTCAAGGTACAATAGATATCAGTAAAAGACATGTTCTTGTTTTTACTTTACAAGGTGATTGGCAAGTAAGTAAACAATGTTACCTAACAGTTCTCTAACAGTTCATGTGATCCATAAATTAGTACTTTGAAGAATTATTTGCTGGATAAACGAGAATCATGTGCCCACACAAGTTGACCATAAAAGTTATTCGAGTACCCAAATTTTGCAGCATCTTCATTGTCCATAAAGAAAGGGGGTCGGAAAAATTTGAGCGTTCAAACGCTGTTATATCAAACGATTCGTTCTCTTGGGTATTAAACACATTTGAAGCAACATCGTTCAACGAGCCAGCGGCGTGTAAAATACAAAGGGCCACCCTCTTCATCGAGCAACTTGAAATAATGGAAAACGAGGGAGAGGCGGTGCCGATAACCCGTCCGTTGTGTCGTTCACCCCTGTTTTTCACGGATCGACGGAACCGCAAAGAAGACACCGATACTCGAAGCTTTCGACAGGTTTTCAGACCCCGGACAGGCGAAGGGGACAGATATTTTTCTCGTAGAGGCCGCTCGAACTGCATGCCAATGCGAATGGAAATTCGAAGTTTGCGTATCATACATCAGCACGCGGCGTCGCGACGAAGCTTTGTCACAACGTGCCGCAGGAATACGTGAACAACGCGGACGGTATAATCGGTATGTATTGTGTCACGTAAGATCGAACTTCCGTGAAAATGTCGTGTATACGTGGCGGACAATTTCACGATCCGGCTGGATTTCGTGGGTAATTCGAGAAACGACACGAAAGCTGACGTTTCGGATATTGGGATATCGCGACACGCGATGATCAACACTGCATATTACTGCATTTAAATATTCTTTTATTTATGCTCCTTTATACGAGAAGAAATAGGGAGAGTTCCTGTACGGCGTTGGATGACCAAGCACGTTTTCTTGTCTAAACGTTTGCAATAGCAGTGGGTGAAAAATTGATAGTGAACTTTTAGTTTCTTTATAAATGTGAGGTTGATAGACGGATCAAAAGCTTATATTGGTAGAATACAAATGGAGGTACTGTCTTTCGACAAAAACGTTAATATAGAAAATTGTTTTATTAACACCAAAGTGAGGTTAGGTTTGAAGTTCATCCTTTGTCTACTGGTTCGTCATCCTCGATGTTTCATTTCGGTTAGCCAAAGGTTTCTAATTCTTATTAGTGACAAATCTAATAATGTGAAAAAATGAAATCCACATAAAATCACACGACAGTAAAGTATTAGTAAAATTATATAGCAGTGAAGTATTTTTAACACAAGTGTCATATATCCATATCCACATATTAATACAAAAAGTAAGTAATAATGAAATACAAAAGAGAAGTACTAAAGTGAAAATATAAAACATTGCTGTGAGTTATTGGAACGTGGTCTAATTTTATGCAGCTTTACTCGATCGAAGTCGGTCTTAAACGTCGACTATCCAAACAAGTATAAATAGCAGCACGTAAACTTACAATCTGCACAAGAATGATTGTGTTCCTTCCGTTTATTTGATTCAGACTAACCGAAGCACTTTGTTACGATTCTTTAGAAGAATACTCCAGACACTAATTTACATAAACGAAATGAAACCACTGCCACGATGCAATTTTGCTGACAAGGTAGTATTCC